ATATTTGGTATTATAATAAAAAAATTACTCATATTGATCATTGTTTATTAGAAAACATACAAAATTCAAAGTGGACAAGTAAAACTAAAACAGAGAAATTATCTAAGCAAACAGAAATTCGTATTTGAGCCTCACTGCTGCCTAAGAAACAAAAAAACATTCACATATTTGGTGACCCATAAAAGAAGAATCAGACCCATGCTTAAAAAGATGTGTTAATAAGACAATATAATTAAGCAATTCAAAATGCATTTTCTTTAATATTCTAAGTTTTGAGATAAGACGATCATACACTTCAAAATGAGATTTTAACAGATAAAAGTCATGGATCCAAGTCTCATGTTATCCAACAAGCAAAAAATAATAATTTAAAAAAAATTTATATGTTTGATCCATAAAAATAGAATCAAACCCACGGTGAAAAGGCATATTGAGATACAAACTATATCCTTTTTAATACGATCTTAAACTTTTAAATGAGATGATATGACGTTTTGATATAATCAATAAGTGTGTTAAGTTTTAGAAGTTATAAGTGGTTATATCAAACAATATGTCCCCACACCTCTTGTTGTCCTATCAATAATTGGTGCTTATGTGACTTAGTTTATTTAGAGGCACCAATGATGGGATTGAATCTAGTGGGAAGACCATTCTTTACACGTCTAAAAAGAAAAAAACAGTTTTTAGTCATGGCTTTGGAACCATATTGGATGTCCCATTTAATATCCCAATGTCTTCTTCACATCAAGCACTTTAAGTGGATTCCAACTCTTCCTCAACAAACTACTTCAATGTTTTTTGTTTTTCTCTTTTCCATGTTATTTGAAGTGGGCTTCCTTTTCATCACCTAACTCCTTAGAAAAAATAATAGTAACCACTAAAGTTATATTATAATACTATTTATTTAATTATTTTTCTTAAAATAAATTGGCATATATAATTAATATAAGGATTTCTTGAAAGAGTCTAAGATTAATGTGCTGTCAATAGGGGTGTTCATGGTTTGGATAAAAACCGATCCAAACCGATTAAATGAACCGATTTAATTTGGGTTTTGGTTTGGTTTGGTTTTAGATTGTTAAGAACCGATAGTATTTGGTTTAGTTATGGTTTTGTTCGAAAAAAATCGAAGAAATAACCGAACCGAACCAACAAGTTATATACATAAATTTTATTATTATACATACATAATATATTATATTAATAAACAATTTTAAAGATTTTATATATGTTTCATCAAAATTTATTTTTATAATTTACTTATGAAAGAAAAAATGTCCAAGGTGAGAACATTTTTCTTATTGGTTTCATGTATATGAGTGTCTATGAAAATTCTTTGTGGGACTAAAAATGTCATTGTTTCTTCCTTCTATGCCAAAATAGTGAATTTTGAAGTTTTATTCAGTAAATTCAATGATCGAAAGTTCTATAATGCCAGTCATTCTAACTATTTTTTTGTTTGAATGGATTGTTGTCACTTTTTTCACATTTTGAATGAATTGTTTATTTTATTTTTATGTATGGTTAATAACCGAATAACCGAACCAAACCAAACCAAAACCGAAAACAACCAAACCAATAAATGTATATTATATTTGGTTTGGTTTGGTTTTGATAATTTTAAAACCGATTAAGTTGGTTTGATTTTGATTTTGACCAATAACCGACCCAAACCAAACCGTGAACACCCCTAACTGTCAATAGAAAAGAATCCTTTACACTATTAGATTATAACAAAAGATATTTTTAAGTATGGAATCTATAATCTTGAAAAATAGATAGATTACCTACTATAATATGTAAATACAATTTGACAGTGTAAATAAGTAGTGTTTTCTATCTTAATTTTCTTTTATAAAAAATAAATGATGATTTACATAATTCAAAAAATATTGATTTAATTTTTCCAACTTGAGCCTTATTTAAATAACAAAGGTTTACATAATCAAAATATTAGTAAAAAATATATACGTTCAAACTAAAAACATCACTTATTATGAAATGGAGGAATCAACGTCTAAAATTGAATCCATTAAGAAACAAAGTATGAGATTCCTTGAGTCTTTTCAAGTGGGCTCACACAAATCTACGTGCCCAATAGTGTAGAGATGTTGTTATGTTTATAATGAATGGCCTCGTTCCACCCATTAAGGGTCCAATTATATTTTATACTCTATAGTCTATATATAATGAATTAACTAAGCTAGCAGCCTCTGCAAGATCTTGTCCTAATTCTATTTTTTAAAACACTTCCTAGGATCATTCATTTACCTTCCAATTAAATTTAGTCTTGTTTCTTGATTTTTGTCAGTATGAAACTGTTCCTTTACCCAATAATGTGAAATCTACACACATACTTTAATAAAAAGAGGAAAAGAAAAGGGGGGAAAAGACAAATCTTTTTTCTCTGTCTGACACAAGTATATATGTTGAAAAAATATAAAGTAATAGGAGCATGTGACATATGTTAAAAGGAACAAGAAGTATTTTCTTGTAGGGAGTGTATATATATATATTAAAACTTTGTGCTATAAAGTTTATAAACTTTTGCTATGAGAATACATCCTCATCATAATTTCTGATCAATTCCCATCAATAATTGATCCATTAGTAGCTACTACGTATAGGTTTGCAATAATTTGTCAATTTTTATCTTTGATTGGACAAGGCTATATTGGATTTATTGGTTATACCTAGGTCTATAACTGCCCTATAATTCAAGAAACTTCTGATCACCATCTCTATCTATATGGTAGTAATTCTTTTAATAATTCACAACTAACAATGTGTGAAATTTGAATACTATGGCATATTATATAAGTTTTATTTTACCTCTTCTTAGGAGCCTTCAATTTTTTCTACTCTATTGTTAACTCGAACCACAACTTTAGAGTTAAAGGTTGACGATATGCTTATCACCTGAACAATTCCTCTTGTCTTGGCATATTATAGTAAGAACCCGACATATGTTCTTACTATTTCTAAAATTCAAGAATGACATGCTCCAATTGCATTTACCTCGCCTCTCTATACATCATAAAAGAACGTCTTACCTATATATCTTACGGAACATATCAAGATAGTCGTATTCTCTTAAATCAGATGTAACATAAAATGTAAATAGATCGATCAATATTAAAATGCATGGCATGCGAATTCCCAATGTGACACATTATTTGACAAGATGTGTATGTGTTACGATTCAGAGAAAAATGTGCCTATTATATATAATATGGGACATGCCCAATATTATTATAATTAATTTATTACATTTTACATCTCATCTGTATTTTTATATCATATGGAAGAGTTGTTATCGAACTTTGATTTGGTCTGTTGAATAGTAAAATTAAACCAGTATTTGGATAAACATCTGAAAGATATGGTATTGCTTATGAATCTCGAGTTGTTATTTTCTAATACCTTAAAATACTGTTGTTTCTGACACTCTTTTAAGTTGTCTTTACAACTAATGTATACACAGATGTCTGGCTGTTATGCAATTGGTCTTCCATTATTGAATGTATATTTTAAGCATGTATAGTGGAAGTAAGTATGGATCAAAAATTAAAAACAATATTGGGATCAGCATATCTATTGGAATCAAATGAATACTAAGTGTAATTTGACTGTTTAAAATACTAAAGTTTTGTGTTGGTAATAAATGTGTGTGCATGTGCGTGTCAGTTGTGGTTTATTAATCCTCCATCTAATTTGGAACTCAAAATATATCCATGCAGTTACAAGTTGATTACTGTGTGCCTCTCAATACTGCCTTCACGTTTCGACAATACCACTCCATTTCTCACTCTTAACGATACGAAGGATATGGTGTAGTGGATGGAACTATTCTTCCTTTAATCAGAGTTAGGTTTCGAGTTCGATCTTTGAGTATAAAAAGATTCTTGGTCAAGCATGTGATAATTCTCTTTTACAATAGTGGCAGTGGATGCTCTGTTCTCTGTTTGTTCTGATATCATATTGAAGTGTATGTAAATAACTATCTCATCTAAAAATTTAAACTATTAGAGATATAACATTTTGCTTACTTATTTATCTCATTTATAACTTTAGCAATATTCTATTAATGCAACAAAACAAAAGGTTTAGAGGGTTCCTTATATGGTCAATAGAAGAATTTCCTTACATTTAACATGCAATTTATTTACATTCCTCTCCTGGCCCCTGCAGGCAATTAAAATAGATAGAGGAATGTCCTTACATTTAACATGTAATTCATTTGATCATTTTATTTGGTAAATCTTAAAGTAAGAAAGAACTAGCGTTAGTTAACATTTACAAATGATATTAGAGTTGATGCTATCTTATATTTGCTAGTTAATTCTCGTATGATTTCTAATATATCCAAATTGAACTAATTAATATATATGGAACTAGATATATCAAAAATATGACCATCATAATTTCAGTAAACTTTACCCAGAAAAATATTGGTGTTAGTGTAGTGTTTCATTTGCGAGACAGATCCAGAATATAAGATATATGTATTTAGATTTGAAAACTTAGGAATTTCAGTGTTTATTATATATATATACATATTCAATAAGCTTTTTCATAAATATATACTACTCTATAATTTAAATGAAATTTTTTAAGTACTTAAATATAGGTGAAGTCAAAACTTAAAAGTTAATGGTTTCATGATTTTAGATATTTTAAGTTACTAGGTTCTAAAGTGAGTGATTTAGGCCAAGATTTGTATATGCAACTTGTATTTTTCATAAAAGCTTAGCCCCGACTTAAAAGGTTCCAACAACAACAAGAAATATTTGCACAAAGAAAGGCAGAGTCTCCATGTGAAAGGGTGTTGTTGTTGTCCTATTTTTGCACCATAATACATTATTTGATAAGTCCATATACAAATGCATGCGCTTTTCCAAATTCACATGCACAAATTGAATTCCACGCCAACACGTGTGAACCCAGATATACATACATTATATTATACAAATAAATTCAAGAGAGAGAAAGAGAAGTGCACAATAATACTTTCTTATTGAACATTTTTACTCAGAAAATTACAAAATTTCTCCATTTTTTTTCCAATTACAGTTGAGTCTTCCAAGAAGAAAAAGATACAAATTAAGTTCTTTTAATTAAACCCCATCCCTAATAAAACTTCCAGGGTTAAAAGGGTCAACTCCTTGTGTTAATTGACTAAGTCTTCATCAGCGTTGAGTTTTCTTCTGATACTTTTGTTGTAAGGACGATTGTTTCCACTCCACCAAACGATTCAAAAAGTACATAACCTGCCATATTAAGAAAAAAATCAAAACATTAATATTACCAATAAATAAATAATTTTAATCTTTTTTAAATTAAATTAAGAATTATCTACTAAATATTTTATTTGTACCTCTAATGGTTCTTGTAAAGAATAAGTAGCATTAGTTTCTTTAGGTGATTTAGACACTAATATTCCAAAGCCTTGTCCTCTATCACGCAAAACCTGATAATTTTCCATAATACAATATTAGTACAATTATTATTATTATTTCGGAAAAAATACAAAGATATACTTTGTTAGTTGAAGAAATTCAGTACCTTGAAAGCATCTTCATCAGTTCGATCATCGCCAATATAAATAGGCAAAACATCATTTGAATTTGCATAACCTAATGATTCCAACAAAAATTCGAGTGCATTTCCCTTGTCCCATTTAATACTAGGACGAATCTCCAAAACCTATAATAAAACAAAAAAAAATCGGTTCAATATTCATATTTTTTCCTTTTTCTTTATTTTGTAATATATTAAATTACGAAATAATAATATTAACTTCGAAAAAAAACATACCTTTCTTCCTTGAGTTAATCGAAGCCTTGGGTATTCCTTAGTCACTGATTTCACTTGCTCAGCTAGTTCAGTCCATCTCTGAAATTACAAAACGAAAATCGAAAATTCAATTATGACTATTTTTTTAAGAAAAAAAAAATTGAAGAAAAAAAAAAGAGAAGAAATTGTACCTTTTCTTCAACACGACGGAAATGTACGGATAAACAAAATTTGTTGTTTTCCACTTTAGCTCCTGGTATAGATTTTGTTTTCTCCACTAAAGATTTATATACCTGAAAATGTCAAGTAAACGTTTAAATTATTTATTTTTTCTTTTTATAATGTGACAAAAACACTAGAGGTAAATAAAAAAAAATTTAAAAAAAAATAAAAAAACTAACCTCACTAATCATGGGTAAAAATTCTCTTGCAGGTTGGCAGAGTACAGTTTGATTATTTCCCTGAATAAGTAAAAAAAAAAAGTACCAACATTATTATAAAAGAACAAAAAATTACATGAGATTAATATAGTAAACTAGTTAAGTTAGAAAGTAAATAATTATAATTTGCTTACTTTTCTATAATTACGCCCTTTAACAGGCGCCTTAATGTCCATTCCATGACTTCCAGCATAATATAATTCTGATAATTTCACAAAATTAAACACTTTTGCTCTGCATCTTCCACTCACTATTGCTGTTGGAAAATACTTTGATGTGTTTTTTACTGCTTCCCTCATCTAAAATTTACCATAAATAAAAAAATAAGTAATTTAATTTTAATCGTATCGGATAATAATACGAGTAATTTAGATTAGATTTTAAGTAAACCAACCTCAGAAGTCATGAAGGCTTTATCAGGATCATCAACAATGGGAGACAATGTACCATCATAATCCAAAAACACTACAATTTGTTTTCCTTTCGAAGAATTTATAATTTCATCGAACATATTCAGAGCTGATGGATGATGAACCTGTTCAAAATAACTCAATAAGTTAATACTCCAATAAAATAAAAAAAATTGATGAATCGAGATTGAATAAATCGAACTCACAATCCAGGACTTGAGATTTTCAGTTTCTGAGGATCTTCGAGTTGGAGAAGAAGCTCTCATGGAATCAAGTAAAGCAGTGATTCTAGTTGCATCAGTAGAATCAATATTTTTGAATGATTTCTTCGCTGGAACAGCGATGAATCTCCCCGGCTGCGGTAGTGGACCGGGAACGGCCGGGGAGAATGATAAGTGTGAAGAGTCGAATCCTGATCTCGGGTCGGAAATTATCACATTCTGATTAGTCATTTTTGCTACACAAGTGATAGTTGAAAAAACAGAGTATTTGAGAAACAGAGCAAATTCGAAGACGGACAATTTAATTGAGTGGAAAAAAGGAAGAGAATTGAGAGAAAATGAAGAGAGTGAGAGAGAAGTGAGACAGGGAAAGAAGAAAGGGGGAAGGAGTGAATTTATAGGTTAGAGAGAGGGCATTAAAGAGACGAAGGCACCACACTTTTTCCGCCTCTTACCTTTTGTGCCCTTAGACGACTCAGCTATGCGTCGGACTTATGCTCCCGTAAAATTTATTCATACTCAATATTTATTTTAATATGATGAATATATGATACCTATATATGTTATTATAGTGCATTATTCTTAATCATAATTTATGTAATATTGTTTGATTTGATATAAAAATTTAAAAAGGAAAAAATACATATGAAATTTGTGGTATGAAACTTTCTTTGATAGTTTGTGTGTGTAAATCAATTTTATTAAGGTGACTTTCTTTTTTAGATAAATGAAAAAGGAAAGTGTGTCACACAAATTGAACAAACTCTATAGTAATATTTTTTCCATCTCAATTGATGTGGTCCTTTTCATTTTTTGATTGTCACTAATTATTTAAGTTAAATTGAATCAGATTAATTCAATATTTAAAAATTATACAAAAAGTATTATAACTAGCAACTCGTTTCAAGTCAATATAATAAAAGATATATTTTAAAATATTGGTTAAAATTTATACAGTTTGAATCTCGACAAGCAAAAAATATCATATGAAAGGAAACGAAATAATATAATTTGGTATAGCAATGAGGTGTTATTAATTTTAAGTCATATAGTACAAACCCCTACCCTTAAAAGAAACTCTTCACTTTTTTGGTGGTGGTAGGTGGTGGGGGGATGGATTAGAGGGTGTTATTATTTTGGTAAGTGATTAATTAGAGTATTTTGGTGATCTTGTTTTGGATTTAATGTACTATCTGCTAATGTGAACCGTTAATTATAGGTTAAGAGGAGCTAATGATACTAATTAAGTTCTTGTAATTCAATTTAATTTTGGGAAGAATGCATCTAGCCGACTAAACGGTCTTAGTTACCTTTTCAGCCAATGATATTCTTCTTTTTTTTCCTAATCTTTTTGGCACCTTTTCAATTGTCAAGACTGAAGAGCCAATTAACTATTTTTTTTAAAAATGAACCAAATCGAGTAATTCGTTTTTTAATCTAAATTTAGTATTTTGAAAATACACGAAAAGTATCATATGATGTAATTCTTATGTAATTAAAAAAAATAATCTAAAATTTGAATTTCTGAAAGGTAAGTGCTAAATATTTTGAAATAGGGGTGGAGTAATTTATTTATTTATAAATTTATGATACTTTTCACATATATTGATTAATTTCATGAATTAGATATCTCTCATTATCAATAGATTTTAAATAACTCAGTCCGTCAAATTTCAGACAAATGAGAAGAACTCATTTAGTAATATTTTTGTATTTACTGAAATTTAAATTTGAAACTTCATAATTCTCAATCCACTTTATTGACGAGCCGTAAACGACCTCATTGCCTTTAGAAATTTATACTTAATTAACTCTGCCAAACGAAATACAAAGAACAGGAGTTGTTTTAACATTTTGCATGTAAAGGGCCCTTTATTTCCATTTAAGTTCTTGGTATATTACCTAATTAAAGACTTTACATACGTAGCCATTTCAAATTTCTATTGTAGACCTTAGGCTATGGTACCCTAAATTAGATGACAGCTAATTGTGTCTCAAAATACTCAAAAAATTGGTTGATGGAATTTTAAAATTTTACTAGAAAAAAGAAAATATAATATAATTTTAGGGAATATCATGTGATCAACGTGAATTTAGTAGGACTAGAAGAAATTTCTAAATTTTAGCAATCATTCAAGAACTTTGCTTTGCTTAAACATAATATATAGAATATATTTTTTCCCAGTTTGGACTATATATTATTTGTGATTATTAATTTGTTACATCATTAGCTAATTTCAATTCATGACATGAAAACAATTTTGGTACACTTAATTAAGAAAAGATGACAAAAAAGTTTCTTGTCCAGCCAGCTTCACTTACTTTAATATAGTTCAAATTATTACATGTCAATGCTAAGACCTTTGTTTTATTAAAGTTAAATCTTACTTATATGCTTCACAATAATGTCATCATGTACCTTCAAGTTCACACACACACACACTCACACTCACACTCACTCTCACGCTCACACTCACACTCACACGCACAAAATAATAATTCCTCCAATCAAAAATGTCATAGAAACGAGTAAAAAACGAGTAAAATGTATACTAATTCTAATCATCATAATTGAAATGATTAACTTGTGTTCAATGCTCATGGTAAAATTTCTAGTGTTTACATGATTGTATAAAGAGAGAAGTCGTTTTCTTTTAGTTTATAGTAACAAATTATTTAAGAGGGTAGTTTGTCTTTAGATAGGGATCAATTTCAACAACAACAAATTCAGTGCAAATATTCCACATAAGAGCTCTAGGTGATTGTACATGCAATCTTACCCTCCACATAGTGAATACAGAAATGTTATTTTCGACAGACCTTCTGTTCAAATAATACATATCAAACTTATGAATAGAAAGAAAATATAATAATAAAGAAATCATGCTAAAGAAAAAGGAGAAAAACAATAGCAAAACAACAAACGGGACATAGTTAGAATATCAATTCCAAAACAAATAAACATATAGCAAAGTTTGCATCCAATTCACATGCTAATGAAATCAATAATGTAGTTATGTAGACAAGTTCAATTAATTTACTTCTAATTAGTTTGAAAAATCTAACTCACTTTTTTGGTGTCGTCATTTTAACTACAAGTAGAATAAGTTTTAATGTTACCAAATTCACTTTGATTCTTAGCTAGCTACTAACTTTAGCTTCCCAATTATAAGGCTCCAAAGAAATATATTGGAAATTTGTTTACGCAAGTTGTTAGAAATCTGTGGGATTTCTAAATTAGATGGAATCTTTACCAATCAATAAATCAATCTTACTGACAATTGAAAAAAAAAAACTCTCTAAATAAATACATTCCTTCTTTTTAGGTAAAAAGTGCAATCCTTCCATTTTTGGAAGTATACTTGGTTTTTACTCACTTTTATCATTACTATTTATGTTTTCGTTTTATATTTCAATTTTACAATTATATTAGAATGTGGTATAGTATTATATATGGATGAAAAAAAATTAATAGTTGTCTTAAAAAATACCTAAAAGAGGTGGGAAAGAAGGAAAATGGGTGAAAAAGAAAAAACGAAAGGCACCTCAATCCTACTAGAATAATTATAATGCATAAATCTTATACTTTCTTCGATTCAAAATAAATATATTTTTTTGGAGGTGGCACACCTCTTGAAAATGTTGGTTGATGATAGTATATTACCTTTTGTTGAAAATATATAGTTGAAAAGCTCTTCTTTTTTAAAATAAAAAAAACGAATAATTAATATGATTTTGAATTTTGTAAAAATATTTGTTTTGGACTATAGAAAAAGTGATAAAAATTCATTTATTTTAAATTGAAGAGAGTACAATTCTAGAAGCAAACTCTTACTTCAATTGAATGCTTCACCCCATCAATTTCATACACATATTAAGATTTCTATTTTGAGTATATTTATGATTCTTAAACAATTCATTATCAAATATAATATGTTGAATAGGTGCGGCTACTAAAACAGTCGACTAAATCGACTATTCATAAATTAAAAAGAATTTAGTTTTTATACATTATATAATAAAATAATGTCTACATTATCACGCCATACCAAGCAAATAGCAACCATCCATTATAAGCGAATATAGTAATTTGAAAAGTAATACATACAACTTACTATAATATATATTAAAATTAACATATATTAGTATTATTTTTGGGTTTTAGTATTATTTAGTTGTTTGGTACGTGAATTAAATTATTTTGAGATGATAGTTTTGAATTATAATTCCTAGACTAACTTATCGCACTTAGGAGATGGAACAAAATGATCTTAAGTTGGGGGTAAACTTATATCATCTACCAAATTTAGTTATATTCGAGATTTAATTCTAAAATATCTCACCTTATCTCACGTACCAAACAACGGTACAAATCCCCAATGCCTTCCAATTCTAAAACCTAAGGTCCTTAATTAGCAAACAAGCTAAGAGACCAACAACCACATTTTAGTTACCTTATTCATAAACTTCGACCTTATTAATTTTCATTCAAAACTTTGCACCGTCAACCTTTTCCATTTTTCTTGTATGTCAAGCCTCAACCACTAAGAATTGTCTTCACTATAAAATGTAGACCTTAAAAGTACACTTTTTTCATTAATTATTTCTTCCAAATTAAAAGTTCTTTAATTAATAAAACATTAATGTATCTTGATCATTTCTAGATACCGCCTTTAATTAATTAATTAACAAACATATAAACAACCTGACCTAATAACCACCAAATATTAACTCAAACCTTAAAACCCCTACGTACATAACGCCCCTTGAAATTTAAATTAAAACTAGCAGCCCCTAAAAACCTAACCAACTGCGTGAAAAAAAATCAGCAGCTTCTTGTCCTTTTTTTTTTTTTTACAATGTTAATTAAAACATAGTAGTATAGTGCTTTTCTGCATGAACTCATCTTTCCATTATTCTATGTCCTTTCTATTGTCATTGGGCCACATAACAAATTTTTATTCTTTCTTATTACAACAACTAAAAAAAATAAAAAATAAAAATAAATATGTTGAGTGTTTTTTCGTGGAAATTGTATTGGTAGAATTTAAGGTGAGAATCAAACTTTCTTTTAGCATGGCCTAGAGTGTGGGGTGGGGGTGTGGGGAATATATTGAAAAGTAATATTTTTTTTAACTTTTTGTTGATTGAGTAACTTTTGCATAATGATCGGGAAAATTTAAAAATCCATGAAATCAACCGACCACACCGATTTGTTAAGAGGAAATATTCAAGGAACATAAAAAGTAAAATTTAAAAAATTAGATAAACTCCAATTTATTAAGATTTGATGATGAATATTTGTCAATTACTTTTATTCTCCTTAATTCTTACTATTGGGATTTGAGAAACTTCGCTA